CCTGCTTGTGCTCCGTCCCCCTCTCTTTCTGTCTCCTGCTTGTGCTCCGTCTCCCTCTCTCTCTGTCTTTTGCTTGTGCTCCGTCTCTCTCTCTCTCTGTCCCCTGCTTGTGCTCCGTCCCCCCCTCTCTCTGTCTCCTGCTTGTGCTCTGTCCCCTCCCTCTGTCTCTTGCTTGTGCTCTGTCCCCTCCCTCTGTCTCTTGCTTGTGCTCTGTCCCCTCCCTCTGTCTCTTGCTTGTGCTCTGTCCCCTCCCTCTGTCTCTTGCTTGTGCTCTGTCCCCTCCCTCTGTCTCTTGCTTGTGCTCTGTCCCCTCCCTCTGTCTCTTGCTTGTGCTCTGTCCCCTCCCTCTGTCTCTTGCTTGTGCTCTGTCCCCTCCCTCTGTCTCTTGCTTGTGCTCTGTCCCCTCCCTCTGTCTCTTGCTTGTGCTCTGTCCCCTCCCTCTGTCTCTTGCTTGTGCTCTGTCCCCTCCCTCTGTCTCTTGCTTGTGCTCTGTCCCCTCCCTCTGTCTCTTGCTTGTGCTCTGTCCCCTCCCTCTGTCTCTTGCTTGTGCTCTGTCCCCTCCCTCTGTCTCTTGCTTGTGCTCTGTCCCCTCCCTCTGTCTCTTGCTTGTGCTCTGTCCCCTCCCTCTGTCTCTTGCTTGTGCTCTGTCCCCTCCCTCTGTCTCTTGCTTGTGCTCTGTCCCCTCCCTCTGTCTCTTGCTTGTGCTCTGTCCCCTCCCTCTGTCTCTTGCTTGTGCTCTGTCCCCTCCCTCTGTCTCTTGCTTGTGCTCTGTCCCCTCCCTCTGTCTCTTGCTTGTGCTCTGTCCCCTCCCTCTGTCTCTTGCTTGTGCTCTGTCCCCTCCCTCTGTCTCTTGCTTGTGCTCTGTCCCCTCCCTCTGTCTCTTGCTTGTGCTCTGTCCCCTCCCTCTGTCTCTTGCTTGTGCTCTGTCCCCTCCCTCTGTCTCTTGCTTGTGCTCTGTCCCCTCCCTCTGTCTCTTGCTTGTGCTCTGTCCCCTCCCTCTGTCTCTTGCTTGTGCTCTGTCCCCTCCCTCTGTCTCTTGCTTGTGCTCTGTCCCCTCCCTCTGTCTCTTGCTTGTGCTCTGTCCCCTCCCTCTGTCTCTTGCTTGTGCTCTGTCCCCTCCCTCTGTCTCTTGCTTGTGCTCTGTCCCCTCCCTCTGTCTCTTGCTTGTGCTCTGTCCCCTCCCTCTGTCTCTTGCTTGTGCTCTGTCCCCTCCCTCTGTCTCTTGCTTGTGCTCTGTCCCCTCCCTCTGTCTCTTGCTTGTGCTCTGTCCCCTCCCTCTGTCTCTTGCTTGTGCTCTGTCCCCTCCCTCTGTCTCTTGCTTGTGCTCTGTCCCCTCCCTCTGTCTCTTGCTTGTGCTCTGTCCCCTCCCTCTGTCTCTTGCTTGTGCTCTGTCCCCTCCCTCTGTCTCTTGCTTGTGCTCTGTCCCCTCCCTCTGTCTCTTGCTTGTGCTCTGTCCCCTCCCTCTGTCTCTTGCTTGTGCTCTGTCCCCTCCCTCTGTCTCTTGCTTGTGCTCTGTCCCCTCCCTCTGTCTCTTGCTTGTGCTCTGTCCCCTCCCTCTGTCTCTTGCTTGTGCTCTGTCCCCTCCCTCTGTCTCTTGCTTGTGCTCTGTCCCCTCCCTCTGTCTCTTGCTTGTGCTCTGTCCCCTCCCTCTGTCTCTTGCTTGTGCTCTGTCCCCTCCCTCTGTCTCTTGCTTGTGCTCTGTCCCCTCCCTCTGTCTCTTGCTTGTGCTCTGTCCCCTCCCTCTGTCTCTTGCTTGTGCTCTGTCCCCTCCCTCTGTCTCTTGCTTGTGCTCTGTCCCCTCCCTCTGTCTCTTGCTTGTGCTCTGTCCCCTCCCTCTGTCTCTTGCTTGTGCTCTGTCCCCTCCCTCTGTCTCTTGCTTGTGCTCTGTCCCCTCCCTCTGTCTCTTGCTTGTGCTCTGTCCCCTCCCTCTGTCTCTTGCTTGTGCTCTGTCCCCTCCCTCTGTCTCTTGCTTGTGCTCTGTCCCCTCCCTCTGTCTCTTGCTTGTGCTCTGTCCCCTCCCTCTGTCTCTTGCTTGTGCTCTGTCCCCTCCCTCTGTCTCTTGCTTGTGCTCTGTCCCCTCCCTCTGTCTCTTGCTTGTGCTCTGTCCCCTCCCTCTGTCTCTTGCTTGTGCTCTGTCCCCTCCCTCTGTCTCTTGCTTGTGCTCTGTCCCCTCCCTCTGTCTCTTGCTTGTGCTCTGTCCCCTCCCTCTGTCTCTTGCTTGTGCTCTGTCCCCTCCCTCTGTCTCTTGCTTGTGCTCTGTCCCCTCCCTCTGTCTCTTGCTTGTGCTCTGTCCCCTCCCTCTGTCTCTTGCTTGTGCTCTGTCCCCTCCCTCTGTCTCTTGCTTGTGCTCTGTCCCCTCCCTCTGTCTCTTGCTTGTGCTCTGTCCCCTCCCTCTGTCTCTTGCTTGTGCTCTGTCCCCTCCCTCTGTCTCTTGCTTGTGCTCTGTCCCCTCCCTCTGTCTCTTGCTTGTGCTCTGTCCCCTCCCTCTGTCTCTTGCTTGTGCTCTGTCCCCTCCCTCTGTCTCTTGCTTGTGCTCTGTCCCCTCCCTCTGTCTCTTGCTTGTGCTCTGTCCCCTCCCTCTGTCTCTTGCTTGTGCTCTGTCCCCTCCCTCTGTCTCTTGCTTGTGCTCTGTCCCCTCCCTCTGTCTCTTGCTTGTGCTCTGTCCCCTCCCTCTGTCTCTTGCTTGTGCTCTGTCCCCTCCCTCTGTCTCTTGCTTGTGCTCTGTCCCCTCCCTCTGTCTCTTGCTTGTGCTCTGTCCCCTCCCTCTGTCTCTTGCTTGTGCTCTGTCCCCTCCCTCTGTCTCTTGCTTGTGCTCTGTCCCCTCCCTCTGTCTCTTGCTTGTGCTCTGTCCCCTCCCTCTGTCTCTTGCTTGTGCTCTGTCCCCTCCCTCTGTCTCTTGCTTGTGCTCTGTCCCCTCCCTCTGTCTCTTGCTTGTGCTCTGTCCCCTCCCTCTGTCTCTTGCTTGTGCTCTGTCCCCTCCCTCTGTCTCTTGCTTGTGCTCTGTCCCCTCCCTCTGTCTCTTGCTTGTGCTCTGTCCCCTCCCTCTGTCTCTTGCTTGTGCTCTGTCCCCTCCCTCTGTCTCTTGCTTGTGCTCTGTCCCCTCCCTCTGTCTCTTGCTTGTGCTCTGTCCCCTCCCTCTGTCTCTTGCTTGTGCTCTGTCCCCTCCCTCTGTCTCTTGCTTGTGCTCTGTCCCCTCCCTCTGTCTCTTGCTTGTGCTCTGTCCCCTCCCTCTGTCTCTTGCTTGTGCTCTGTCCCCTCCCTCTGTCTCTTGCTTGTGCTCTGTCCCCTCCCTCTGTCTCTTGCTTGTGCTCTGTCCCCTCCCTCTGTCTCTTGCTTGTGCTCTGTCCCCTCCCTCTGTCTCTTGCTTGTGCTCTGTCCCCTCCCTCTGTCTCTTGCTTGTGCTCTGTCCCCTCCCTCTGTCTCTTGCTTGTGCTCTGTCCCCTCCCTCTGTCTCTTGCTTGTGCTCTGTCCCCTCCCTCTGTCTCTTGCTTGTGCTCTGTCCCCTCCCTCTGTCTCTTGCTTGTGCTCTCTCTCGTGCACGCTCGCTCTTGTGCACTCTCTCTCTCTCGCTCTGTCCCTCTCTCTCTTGGTTGCTTTTCCTTTAAGCCTGTGTGATCTGTCCTCCCCGGTGTACACAGACTCCCGACAACAACAAAAGCCTCCATAAGTCCGGCGCCATGTGTCATTTTTAGGAGTTCTGCTCTTCCGGATGGTTACATGATTGCTCTCTGGTCACATGACATTCCCATAGGGCGGTGACTGTCCGGGCAGCGTTGTGTACAGTCTTGTGGCCTCTCCCCTTCCTCGGGGTTCACACTAGGTCACTGTGTTCCAATGGCAGAGGAGGGGAGGGGGGACACTGTGTGCTCATCACCCCCCCCC